TCTCCTGTGGGCATCTGCCTGGCTGAGGGACAGAGGCCCCCGTCACCAGAGCAATGGTGGGGCCAAGGTCATCAGTGAAGACCAGGCTGGAGCCAGCGAAACCACCCAGCGCCCTGGCCAAACGCAGAGCATGCTGGAGCTGAAACAGGCTGTTCTGAACTGCGGGGATAAATCAGCATCTCCTGGGCTCCCAAGGACTGCTTACCTGCCCTTGGCTGACAGTCTCGCTCACTGCCTGGAGATTGACCGGCTGGGGGAGGGGCACCGTGAGGAACGGAGCCGCCTGCCAGGCCTGACTGGGGCGCAGCCCACACAGCTCCCCACTGACAAGAAGGTTGAAGCAGCCTTCTATCCCAGTGACCATCACTGCCCCCCACCGGGTAGATGAAGGCCTCAGGGCCAGGGAGACACCCCCAGCGAGCAGGAAGTTTAGCCAGGAACCCCCTGGCGTGCCAGTCACTCTCAGAACGCCTCTGGCTCTCCCCTCCAGCCCCCCTGTGGCAGGCGAGCACACAGCCCTGGTGAGGCAAGCCTGGAATGTTCTGGAATGCTGTGCTTTACCTAAATGCTGCTCTCTCTTTGACCCCCCTCGCTGTGTTTGTTTTCAGATTGTAATCGTTGCTGCTTTGTTTCCCAAATCTTCATGCAAACACCCGTGGCATCTTTAGCCCCAGCACACTGAAGTGTGCCCTCCCAGCTCTGCTGGACTACCCTCCCCGCTGACGTTTAAATGTCATCTCAACAGGAAGGTCTCAGAGCTGGGGCCTGGAGGCGGGGAGGAGGGAGGCCAGAAGTCAGTACAGGCCTAGCCCCGAGGGAGAGCCCTGACAGCCTGGCCCTCCAGGGATGTAGGTCAAGTGGCCACATGTCAGGGCCAGAAACCCAGAGACACTGATCAAGCAGCCTGCATCGAGCTGGACATGGTTTACTCGCTATTTCCTTCCCGTTTCGCAACAACTCTGCGGGTTACAATGAGCACCTTGGAAAAGATAAGGCAGTGACGTTCAGAAAGGCCTGGTCACTTGTTTGCTGACAAACAGCTAGTTTGAGACAGGACAGAAATTCAACTGAGCACCGTCTGGGTTCACCAAACCACTCTGTTCATAAAATAGCTCCCCTTTGTGAGATGTTCCTGTGTCCATCAACATTCTCGCTTTTTCTGAAGAGGACACTGGCATTCAGAAATGTTAAGGAACTTGCCAGAGGGCGCCCAGCTGATGCTGACAGAGTCAGTACTTGAACCAGTTCCTGGAGCAGAGAACCTGTGCTGTTCACTATGCTGCAGAGTAAGCGAGCTACCAGGCTCCTCCCAGGACTCGGTCAGCGGTGAGGAGGGGGACCCAGAAGCTCTACTCCCAAACTCCTGCCCTCCCCAGGCCCTGGTCTCTTGGCAAGGAGATAGGGGACCCGAGACTTGCACGACACACAGTCCAGAAAGGTCCTGTTTAGCAAATGCAACACAAGGAGTTGTTGGCTCCTCAGCTTGTGATTCCAATTGTAATTGCCTTGGAACCACAGTGTTAGTCAACTCACTGCCTCTTCTCTCGGTCTCAGAATTTCATTTCCTCTGGAGAAAGGCAGCCAAAGACCCAAGAGGCAAAACCAACGAACAACAGCAAAAATCAGCCAAGGTTACTGGGCAAGATAGAATTCACCAGCTCCAAGAGAAAAATGCAACAACCACAGAGTACAAGCTTCCAACAATACTTCTTTCTTTGTCCGCGCACACATCAACATCGCCCTCTGCTGTCAGCCACTAGTATTACTGCATCTTGTGGGCTGAAGGCCGGTGGAAGGCTGACCTCCCCCCACCTCTGAGGTGTTACACACCTGCAGCGGGGCACCCTTCATATTACAGTCTGGATTCAAAACACTTCACACAGAATAAAGGATACCCCTTACAGCTGTGCAAAGCAGTGGCCCTGCCCCTTGTTAAGGGCAAAGAGATTTAAAATACTGATCATGAAACTTAACACCAGAGAGGGGATCAGTGAGGTCCATACTCCTCACGTTGCAGAAAAGGTCAGGGATTTTTCTTTCTTTTTTCTTTTTCTTCAAGGAGCAAAGAGAAGAGAGTCTCCCTGGCTCTGATCAGGCCTCTTCCAAATCCCACAGCTGAAAGCCTTCTGAGGTCTGATGGGTGAATTCAAGTGCACGGCACTTGCCTTCCCTCCTGCAGCCCCGTGTAGGACAAGGGAGGGACTTGGGGCTCCGGGACTGCTCTGCCCCTCCAGCCCTGCCTTGTGCTCTCTCTGCTCACGTGTCCCCTGCTGTGCCATCTGAAAGCAGATGCCTGGTGACGTTTATTGAACAGTCATGAGGAGCAGACCACCGGCTCTGCGGCCAAGTTACAGCCTGAGCCCCACGTGGGCAGCAGTTCCCAGACCCTGGGGGTGGAAGGTGAAGCCAATCTGACCCTGGAGGACTGACTCCCTTCTGTGTCCTCCCCTAGGACGGTGAGGGGCTCGACCAAACAGCCACAGTCCCAAAGAGCTCTGTGGGACCTGACTGCCTGGGGAGCCAAGTGACCTCCCTGGGGGCTTCAGAGCGGCCCAATCTTCGGGTCTGAGCCACCCTCCATTAACAGCCAGCAGAATCACCTCAGCTTTAAATTTCTCTCCACGCAGCCCCTTGTCACAGAGACAGGACCGGATTCAGCACTGAGTCTGTGGCCGGCTCCCCTACTTCACAAAAGGTTCCAACCCTGAGGGGGGGGTCATTTTATGAAGCAGAGTGGTCCTGTGGGACAAAGAGAGTGACTGTGACTAAATCATGGGCCTGGGGCGCCTGGGTGGTCCTGCTGGTTGGGGGTCGGACTCCTGACTTCAGCTCAGGTCATGGTCTCTGCCTTGTGCAATCGAGCCCCCCCCCCCCCATGGGGCTCTGTGCTCAGTGGGGAGTCTGCCGGAGATTCTCTCTCCCCTTCTCTTTCTGCCCCTCCCCTCACACTCTACCTCTAAAATAAATAAATACATCTTCAAATAAATAAAAATAAATAAATAAATAAGAAGTAAGTAAGTAAGTTAAATAAGTAAGTCACGGGTCCGTGCATTTCCCAGGCATCCTGGGCGTCCACGACGCACAGAACAGCATACGAGGGACAGAAGGAACTGGTCACCAAACACGCTGTAAATTCACTGTGGGATCTACTCCTCGTTGTATCAAACCCAGGGACAGCCTGTGGGCAAGGCCAGGGGCACATGCCATGCCAGGGACAGAAAAATGGAAAAATGCATACCTAATAAACCTTTCCTCAAGCCAGCAAGGAAGATCAAACAGGTGCGGGAGGAGTAAGCAAAAACAAGGCAACTCATGCTGAGTCCCCGGAAGAGAGAAGGGGCAGGGTGTCCACCCACGGAAGAGCTGGACTCACAGCCATGGAAGGATGCCTCGAGAGGACAGACATCAGCCCTGCAGGACAAACTAGCCTGGGTCAGAGCCTGCCTGGGAAAGGGGGCAACTGGCTAAGGGGCATCGGGTACCCAAGAAAGCGGTGAGGTAGGACTAGAGGGAGCTGGGGTCCAGGGAGGAAGGCTCTGACGGCACAATGCATCTGGAATATTCTGTAGGCAGAGGGTGCCCTGCTGAAGGAGCTGGGGGTCAGGGTCAGCTGTGAGGTTGGATGCTGGTCTGGTGGGGAGGCATGTGGGCTAGAGGAGGAGGGAGATTTAGTCATGAGGTTACTGCCGAGCAGTGCTCCGGAAGGATCCAAATGAGGACCGTGGCATGGGGCAGAGGGCTACAGGGGCAGGAGGTCAGGGCACTGGCCTGAGGGACTAATTGTCATTGGTACTTCTGGTCTTGGGCTGATGGCTCACAGGCCTGTGCTAATCCTTCCCTGGCCTGCACCCTGGGCCCCTTCTGGGTCTAAAGGGACCCCTTTACTCACTACTTCTCCCAAACCCCAAACTACCCTGGAGCGGCCGCCTCCTCCCTTTCCCAGACCCGGAGCCAGCTAGTCAAGGTCCAAACCCCAGGGAGGGGCTCAAAGGAGCTTCTCTGGTGACAGTGTCCTGTGACGTGATCCCAATGGGTTTGCCCACAGCCCAGCCCGTGGTCTGAGCCAGGGACATGTCAGCACCTACCCGGTTCCCAGCTGGGCAAGAAGGCCTCCGCCCTGGAGCTCACTGAGGCTTCCCGACGGTGCAGAGAAAACAGGAAAAGGAGGACGCACGGACCCTGGAACGAAGCTGAGCCAACCCCAAGGCCAGGCCCACCCGCTGTGTCCTCTTTCTCCTCTACACACACACACACACACACACACACACACACACACACACACACGTGCACTCGCACATGCTCATGCTCTCACACACACGTGTGCACTCACACATGCTCACACACGTGTGCACTCACACATGCTCACACACACACACAGGGACAGAGTGGTGCATTTTTGGCCAAAGTGTGTTGGTGACCAGGAGTGTTGCCTTCTCAACACAAGCCATGGAGGAGAGGAGGCCCCAGTAGAAACCAAATTCATCTTTAATGTGCTTTTCAACTCGTATTGGATTAAAGAAATTTGAGAATCCTCAGAAATTCAAATCACTTATTCCCTGAAGTTAAACCTTGGGAGGATTAGGGAGAAACATGTTCTGTCTCCAGGACTGGCATCTCTCCCCACCTCCCCCCTCCCTTTGTGCAGAACACACAACCTCTGAAGGATGCACGCCACCTCTCTGAGGCTTGCTCATTTGTGCCAAATGTTTGCAGGCTTTGATGAGCCTCTCCAGCAGCCCCGGGCCACCCCCACGGGGCTCGGTGTCACTGCCGGACACTCCCTCCTCCTGTACTTGGTGTCGCTGCTGCCAGTTGGTCCATCCAAGTGAGCTAAGGCCCCAGCCTAAGTGCCTTGGGTAATAGGTTCCGGGAGAAAAGTCCCAGACTAAATGCCACAGAAAATAAATTCTAGGAAGTCCCCTCACCATGACCAACAGGATTGTTGCCAATGGATCCAACCCCAGAATGAATTGAGGACAGCCCCCGGGGTTCGGACTTACTTGAAGAAGTCTTCCTTGCAGTAGACGCTCCCGGCCCTGGAGAAACACCTGTCGGCGAGCTGCATCTGGCAGTCCGCACACTTGAGGCAAGAGCTGTGCCAGTGTCTGTCCAGGACCTTCAGGATGAACTTGTCCAGGATGTGCTGGTTGCAGCCGGCGCACTGAGGGATCTCTGTGGGGAGCAGAGAGAAAGGCAGGGTGAGCCTTCCACGCAGCACCACTCACCGGGCTGGACCCTGTGTGGACGCCTTCCCATTCTTCACAATTCCTTCCCCACGGGAGGAAAAGGACATCACCCAAACCCTCCGGCTGCCACATAGAATGGTGCGGGCTATACATCCACGGAGGTCGCCGGTCCAGGCGGCAGGTGGGAACCGAAATCCAATCCACCCTGTGTTTCTCATTAGGAGGTGGGATTCTCAAGGGGCAGGAACAGTGTTCCTTTCGCAGCTTTGGATCCTGACTGCCTAGCACCGTGCCTGGCACACACGAGTAACTCCACCGATGTTTCCCACTGAATAAATACTTGATCACGTCTTCTCTAAGAAGACGTTCCACTTTGAAACAGTTCACCAGTTTCTCCAGTGCACTCCAAAATATCAATACGGGTAGGAGTGGGCCAGGAAAACCAAATCTCTCAGGAATCATCCGTGTTTCTTGATTCATATCTTATGTGTTGGTGTGATACCATTTAAAAGTGTTAACATAACGGAATTAGCCTCAAAGCACTTGGGGGTGGGGTGGGGATGTGAACACATCTAAATCTATGTAGAAAGAAAGCTCCAGTACTAAGTCATTCGTATCTCAGACCTGTAGATAGGCCACTGAGACCCTCACTAGGTGACATCACTAGTGACAGACGGACATGTGTCAGTGTTGGGCCCACTAAACCCCAAACCCAGCCTGTTCCCGTTATGGCCTCGGCAGCTACCAACATGTGCCTGAAAGTCAGACCCACTAGATGCCTTGCTCTTTGACCCCATTCTCCCACCAAAATGCCCCGTGAAAACTACCAGGAGCCACACTGAGGCAGATCTGCATGGGTCTGGATACCTGCTACCTGTCCTTGTGCATATGGCATTTTTTCCCATCTCAAAAGTTTTCCAGGGCACCTGGGTGGCTCAGTCAGTTGGGCGTCTGCCTTCAGCTCAGGTCATGATCCTGGGGTCCCTGAATAGAGCCCACATCAGGCTCCCCGCTCAGCGGGGAGTCTGCTTCTCCCTCTGCCCCTCCCCCTGCTTGTGCTCTCTCTCTCTCTCACACTCTCTCTCTCAAATAAAATCTTTTAAAAAATTTTTTCCTCCTTGACAAAGAAAATGTTTACCAATTAGTTACCGAGTTACTTACCAAACAGTTCCGATGTGCCCAGCAAAGTACTAAGTACACGACAGCAAGAGGATTTCCATCAAATAATGGGGGGGTGAGTAAGACACAGGGTAAGACCATGGATTCTAGAGCCAGGCTGCCTAGGTTTGAATCCTGGCTCTGCTTTTTAACCTTCAACAAATCACTTCACCTCTCTCTGCTCCTGTTAAAACGGGGGGGGGGGTGATGACAATAGTACCTAGTAGGATTGTTGTGAAGAGTAATTCAATCAATACGGGTAGGAGTGGGCCAGTATACAGTAGGTGCTCAATAAAGGCTTGCTATTATTAGGAGATAACTGCAGTAACCAGCTGTTAGATATGGTGCTGTTGTGGCTGAGGGCAGGGAAAGTTAGGAACACCCCCCCCCTTTCACAGACTTGATCTCATTGGGCCCTCAGGTAGAGGCTCAGAGAGCACCCCACACCACCAGGGCAGCTCCGCCAGGGCCAGGGGCATGCCTGTCTGCCTGCGGGTAGTCCTCCCTCAACTACAACTACTCCCCCGCCTCTCTCACAGTCCCTCAGGACTGGCAACCCTGGAGCAGCAGGGAAGGGGAGGGGGGCAGGGGGGCCTTTGCCGTGGAGAGATCGGGAGACTCAGAGAGGAGATTCCGAGGAGTGCGGAGTGACTCACCAGGGGCTCCTGCGGTATGACCAGGCCAGTCGGGGGGGTTGGGGGGGACAACTCTTGTAAAGAAGGTCAATAAGGGCAAGGGGGGGACACCTGGGTGGCTCATGGGACGCCGGGGTGGCTCAGTCGGTTAAGCGTCTGCTGTTGGCTCAGGTCATGATCCCAGGGTCCTGGAATGAGTCCCACATCCAGCTCCTTGCTCAGCGGGGAGCCTGCCTCTCCCTTGGCCTCTGCCTGCCGCTACCCCTGCTTGCTGCTTGTGCTGTCTCTCTCTCTCTCTCTCTCTCTGACAAATAAATAAAACCTTTAAAAAATAAATTATAAATAAATAAACCCCACTAGATAGAAATCATTTTTTTTTAAAAGGGGGGGGCAAGGGGCGCTGGGTTCTCCTGCCCGCGTCCGCATTCGGAGTGGCTTTGGCTGCGGAGCCAGGGGCTGGAGGAAGGAGGTGCGAAGCAGGATCGCTCTGGCACGGTTTTCAAGGGAGGGGAGAGGAGACGGACGTCCCCCGCGCGGGGAAGCGGCTGGCGGACGCACGGGTGCAGAGCGGCGAGCCCGTGCCCACCAGCCGCGGGGGGCGCGTCCCAGGCCGGGGGCCGCCGTCTGTCCCCGCGGGCCACCGGGGACGCGGCGACACGGCCCCACTAGGGGCGTCTTTGTGTGGGCGGACGCCCGGAGTCCCCGGGCCGGGTACTGGGCCGGCGGACGCTCATTAACCCTTGGAGAACCCGGGCGGAGAGCCGCGGTCCCCGCGCGGGGTGCGCCAGCCCGCTCCCTCCCGCAGCCCGCCCCGCTCCCACCTGACTGTCGTCTGGCCCTGCCTCCGGGAGCGGTGCGGCTATATTTCTCCTCCCGGCCGCAAATGCAGGGGATGAGGGCGAGGATGTGCGCTCATAAAATTTATTTCGAGCAAGGTAGCTACCGGGAGCCTTAATATGATGAGTATTCAAGAGAGAATACATTAAGGCTAATGTATGCAGGGGAGAGGAGTTCTACAGGCTTGGAAACGGAGACAACAAGCTTAGGAACAACACTAAAAGCAGACAGACAAGCCATTTCAGCCTCCAGCTTGCAGGGATGCTTCCTGCTGGGTCGGGCTGCGCTGCCCAAACTCGGGGTTCTCTCAGGCCTTGGGACCAAACTGGGGTCCTCGAGTTTGGCAAAAATGTGAGGGACATTCTAAGGGCGCTTTTTTAAGTTAAAAAAAAATCTTTCACACTGTATTCCAATGTAGATTTGCGGGGGGGGGGCATTTTTAAAAACCAAGATAACATAGAAATGATTTGAGAGATCCGTAATACATCAATAATGGTAAAGTCAGATGTCAAGAGCCTGTTATGAACTCTGCCAGGTCCTGGATGTATATTATCTCAATAATCCATACCACTTGGTAGGAAAGTGTTCTTACCCCACTGTACACATGAGATAACTGAGCTTGGAGACCCGAAGCAAAGTGCCCAGTGTCCCACAGTGGGGGAATTGGGATTTGAACCAAGAGCCTACGCTTAAAGTAGGCTAACCCAACCTGAGAGCTGGAGGGATCTGGACACGCCTCACCTGGCTCTACCCCTGTCATTTTATGGAGGGGAGGTGGAGGGAAGAGGTAGCCACAAATCTGCTCTGCATACAGTGACAAGGGCGTTAAATAAGCCACGGGCCTCTCGGGCTCCGAAACACTGGGCAAATGGAAATGTTTGAGACATACATTTAGATCCTGTAGACTGGGTATGCATGTGCTGTACGGGACAGACACCCCACACCCAGAGGAGGGTGGGAAGCAGAAGCCTCTGTCCTGCTGACCCCATCCCCCCAGCTGCAAGGTGTCAGCTTGTTGATGGCATCTGTCAAGTTCAGGTTCATCCCTGGCTAGGAGGGGGTGGAGACCTGTGAACTCAGATCCCACTCTTCAGGTGACAGCACTCCGTGCAATTATTTTGATTAGTGTGAAATGTAAGCTATCTAGAAATCTTTCCAGGAGCAACAACACAAGCTTTTTTTAAACTTACAATAAATGATTATTATTTTTAAATTCAGAGAGCCCGAACAGGACAGAGGTTATAGGGGTCTCCTACCAGAAATAAAGTTGTAACCAAAATTTCCGAGGAGCCAGAAGATCTCCAAGTCCCTAATAAACTCAACTTACTTCATGCAGTATTTAATATCACAAGATTTCACTTTAAAAACTGGAATTTAAGCCGATCCTGGGAGTTGCTAAGACAGAATTTAACCTATAAACTCAGTTTCTGATACGAAGAGTCATTTCACTTAAAATGAACATTTTTATCTTATCTGCACGAAAGGGTTCTTTGGTGATGTTCTCTGCTGGGGCTCGGCAGAGAGTGAGCTCAGCCATGAAAAGACGGCAAAGCCCCCAGAACAGCCAAGGAATCTGGGGAGATGCTGGGTCACACGGTACAATGCCTTCCCCATCAGCAGGGCCCAGAGGCTTCTGTGAGTCCTGCAGAGTGACATGGCTCAAAACACAGACCTAAGCACAGCGAGAGCAACTACATAGGCAGGGAGGCTCCCTTGGACTCATCCCAGGACATCCACACCCACACAAACACATACACAGTCAGACAAACACACACATTCACATACTTAGTACACACATACACATAGAACACAAACACATATACATACTAACATACACAAACACACACAATCACAAATAAACCAAGATACACCCTGAGACACACACGAAAGCACCCACGCATACCACATTCACACAGACAAACACATGTTTGCATATAGTCAGACATGCACCCGTAATACACACACTGGTAGGTACGCAAGCACACATATACCATGATACTTACACTCACACATACACATAAACATCATGCACACACAGGCTGAGGCATGGCCATTCTGGAAAAAAAGCCAATTCTTCTCAAGTCCTGCTCCCTCTCTGGAAAGGAAGCATCTCAGAAGGAGGGAGCTGTCCAACCCTGGAGCAGTGGGGGAAAGTGAGCATTGAACACTATAGAAAGCCAGGGGGAAGCGGAAACATTTTGTTCAAATACTCTTTTAGAAAACTGTTGGGAGAATTGGAAAGCTTTCAGTTCTGCTTCGAGTTTAGATCTTCAAATCTTTAGGTCTGCCAAATTGTTTATAATAAATCCCAGATCAGAGTCTGATAGATCTGGGTTCAGATCTCAGTCTACCATGT